TATATATACACACACATTTTTAAATAAATGGCTTTGCAGTTTAAATAAAAATAATTATGTTGACAGTTTTGCTATTCTGCTAATTTCAACATTTTGTGCTTTTTCGTCTGTTTTTTTGTCAATTTCAGCTGTTTTTTTGTGTTTTTAGCTACATTTTTGCCAATTTCAATTTTTTCAACCAAATCATTTTTTTTTGTCAAATTTCTTTAGCATGAAGCATTCAAATTCTCTACTTTAAACAGATTTAATGCCACAACAACACCCATGTGTTGTGCTGCAACACATAATGCAGAACTTGCGGTTCTTTAAAAACGTTGAGCTGTTGCATAACCTGCAAGTAGAAACAGAATGCAATTCTTCATAAATCTCATAAGCCCATAATTTAAACCCAGTTCATAATATCATCAAAAGAGCTGAAGAATCTGTAGAAATCTCTGAGCTCAAAGGACGAGGCTGAAAGCCAACACTGGGAGTCTGTGATGTTCGGGCCCTCGGGGGCCACTGAACTAAAAACAGATCCATTTCTGTTCTGGACATCACTGCAGGAGCTCAGGAACACTTCCACATAATCTGGTTAAAGCTTTATCGTGCAACAAAAAAAAGACGACATTTGTGAGCAGAATCCAGGTTTCACGGCGTCTTTTCTTACCTCGCCGTCGATGTACTTCTCCAGACAGATGGCGCAGTCGGAGGTGGAGCTGCTGCTCAGCGACTCGGACGCCCCGCAGCTGCTCTCGCTCGGCCCTTTCCCTTTAGCCTTGAACTTCCTCGTCTCCATCTTCTCCAGCGCCTGGATGGCCATCCTGTTCATGGAGCTCTGCGGCAGGAGGGGGACATGAGGACGCGTTTAACAAACCACGCCGAACCAGGAAGCTCTGCAGAGTTTACGCTGCAAAAACTGTCCATCTAACCACGTTTTAAAATCATATATCAGCCAAAAAGTCTTTTTGATCTTGTTTTGAGACTGATTTACTAAACAAGAACTGATTGTGTAAGAAGATCTTAATCTTGTTTTCAGAATGTGTACGATTATTTGTCTTGTTAGTCTGAAAATTTTGACTCAAATTAAGTCAAAAATTTCTGCCAATGGAGTAAGAAAATTTTACTTGGTAAGATTCTTGAAATAAGAAAAAATTGAGTCAAATCAAGTATTTCAAGAATCTTACCAAGTAAAAATTTCTTACTCCATTGGCAGAAATTTGATTCTCTACTTTAAATAGATTTAATGCCACAACAACACCCATGTGTTGTGTTGCAGCACAACACTGCAACCCCCCCCCCGCGTGTGCGAGTTGTACAGATTTTTTGCGACATTTATGGATTTTTAGGGCTCTTTATACAGGTAAACGTCCAAAGAGGTTGAAATGTATGCGAACCGGACCGAACTTCAGTCAAACAAGACCCAACACTTTTACTCCTGATTTAAACTAGTGATCTTGTGAGCAGCTGCAGCTGTATGCTTTTATTTTTTTCTGTCAGGCTGTCGGAGCGCTCCTCCTCCTCTGTCCTGTGCTGGTGTGGGGTGAAAA